CGATGCATAACTATAGCACCACCTACATTTTTAGTATATTTTGACTTTGGAATAACAATAAATAATGTTGAGTATAGCAAAGTAACCGAGCTCTATGTATGTGTACGTAAACAGTATGGTATGGTGTGTGTGTGTAACAGAGCACATGTAATGTATTCGTGATGTTCAAACGTTAAGGTGTTTTTCGTATTGTATTCGTCGTTCGACCGTTCCCGTGTGAAGTCCAGTTATTTTCTTAATCTTTTCAAATTAGCCGTTTTTCTAGTTCGTTACAACAAATAAAAATCATCCATATAAAATCGAAGGGTATATTAAACAATGAGTTTTAGCGCAAATTTGTTGATATTAGTTTATTGTATAAGAAAATATAATATGAAAATTGATTTTTCATCGTTGCATAACAATAGCACCACACGAATAAATGTCAAATATATATACATAAATGTGATTTTAATAACTTGTAGGGCTTCCTTGCTTTGTAATAAGTTCGAAAATTCTATTTGGCATGCTCTGGATGAGTTTCTGAAAAATTTGTTGCCCAATTTCACTACATGCCCTTAGTATTGCGTTTTTTAGTTCTACAATATTTTCATATTGCCGATTTTCGGCATAAACTTTTCGGACAATAATGGCAATTATTGAAAAACAAATATTTTCCATTGAATTTTGGTCTGGAGAACATGCTGGCCATTTAATTATATTAATTTTGTTTTTTTCCAACCATATTACAGTTTTCCGGCTGGTGTGTACAGCCGCGTTGTCTTGTTGGAAGGTCCAATTTGTATCATTTTCATTTATGAAAGGTAGCAAGTTGTTGCCCAAAATTGTGATGTACTCATCACTATCCATTTTTTTTTTTTATGGAAAAGCCAGTTGCAACATGCCATCAATGCAAGAGGCCCCCAAACCATAATACTTCCTCCGCCAAAATTTCTTTTCGAAAAGTATTGCGGTTCTTTTCGGAGATCTCGCCAATACAAATTGTAGCCGTCTGGACCATCAAGATTAAATTTTTTTTTATCCAAAAATATAACCTGATTATCAATGATAGAAGTTGAAGTAAATTGGTGTAAAAAGATATAGACATCTAAAGTTAACTTACGCTTTTCCAATCTCGGTGCATGTTCGCTCAAGCGAATTCAAGCCTCGCAACAGTATGTCGTGGTAGAAGTTTTGATACCGATTTTAATTTTTGCCTCACGATATTAGGATTATTTTTCAAAACTCGACGTGCTGTCCAGTGTGAAATATTTAAGTTAAATTTCAAAACTTGACGTACTGTCCAGCGTGAAATATTTAAGTTAAGTTCACTTTTAATTTGGTTACAGCTTTTCAGGCTGTTACTGGCTGCTTTTACAATTGCCAGTTCGGTACGGGGACTCAATTTTTTCTTGGGATCACCTTTTTTATTCTTGTCATAATTAACGGGATCATTTAAAACATTCAAAATGACATTATGTGATCGCCCTAGCCTGCGGGCAGTATCCCGAACACTAGCTTTATCTTCGTTAAACGCCAAAATTCTACCTTTCTCCTCTTCGGTCAAATATTTACCACGTGGCATTGTTTAACAAAGAGTTTTGTGAAATTTGACTTTGTATTTTAATAAAAAATGTAATTATTTAGCTTCTGTGAATTTGTTGTTGAACTGGATCGAGAAAAGTTAACTTAATAACAGTGGTGCTATAGTTACGCAACAAGTGAAAATCACATTTTCGATTACATCATTTCTAATAGAAGAGCAACTTCAATGAGACTTAATGTAAAATTTATTGCAACTAGTACCATTTTAGCGCCTGCAATTGATTTTTTGCATTCTAACTCTGAATTACAGAACAAGTAAAAAAAAAGCTGGTGCTATAGTTATGCACCGCAGTGTATTCATCCATACTCGCGAAAAATTAATCAATGAGTGTGAATCCGGAAAACCAAAGAAAAGGAAAAGAGATCATATTTTGATCGATTACCGTATTTCATTTTGAAAAACTAAAATAAGTAGAAAATACAACAGAATTTTTTACTAGTAGCTTCACCTTTAAAAAAATTAACTTTGAAAATCTTACAAAGGACATTACCCAATTGTTACACGTTGATTTTAATGAAATATTTACGTTATAGAACTTGAAAAAATCTTTGACACGTATTTCTTTTACGTAGTAAAGTTAGAGTTGAGAAAGCTATTTACACAAATATCTTGAAAACTATTAGATCTTTAGCGGATGACGGTAGGAGAATGAAATAATTTTTACCGAAATACTTGTTCGGAAAAGTCTTTATTAGAGGTGTCGGTCCGCGTGTACAAGTCTGCTGAACAGCGTGACGGGTCAATAACGAGTGTGTCTATTTCCGCATTTTTAACCGACTTCGAAAAAGGAGGAGGTTACTCAATTCGACCAGTATATTTTTTTTTTTTTTTTTTTTTTTTTCTATGTATGTTCGCC